CCTGTATATTTCAGAAAACTATAAAATCACCACTAAATGGTGTGGTATAGTAATCCACAGGTATTCTAAAGGTATCAGATTAATAAAATATACCTTGAACAACAACCTGGCTGCCTGGGACAAAGAACTGCTGTGTGCCATCAGCTGACTGTGCTGCATATTGTACAATTGCAGCACCTGGTGGAGGAGCTCCTGAATTTGTCATTGTTAATGCCTGTAGTCCCTGAACACCATCAGATCCTGGGTTAGAAATCTGGATTGTTCCACCTTGGGCTATAGCAACTTAACAGAAAAAGAAAAGAAATATTAGAGAATTTCAAGCTTCATTTTTAATCATCTCATATTGGAAGAATATATTCTGGACCTATGTGTTTATTACCAATGTTCTCAATTTACCTTTATTTCTCAACTAGTAGCCCGGTGCACGAAATTCGTGCACATTAAAAGGGAATTAATTGCCCTAACCAGTTTGGCTCACTGGATAGAGCATCGGCCTGTGGACGCAAGGGTCCCAGGTTCAATTCCGGTCAAGGGCATGTACCTTGGTTGCGGGCACATCCCCAGTGGGGAGTGTGCAGGAGGCAGCTGATCGATGTTTCTCTCTCATTGATGTTTCTAACTCTCTATCCCTCTCCCTTCCTCTCTGTAAAAAATCAATAAAATATATTTTTTTTAAAAAGGGAATTAATTAGCAGAGATATTTTAACATTGCTATTTGCCCTTTCTCTATAACAGAAGTGTGAGAGATGAAAGGAAATTAGTAAAATGCATATGGAAATCATATATAAATTTATTAATAAATAAACAGTAACAAAAGGATATAACAACAACAGAGGCATGATATAAAAATGACAAAAACATAATATGAAAACAACAAAAACATGATATGAAAACAAAAACATGATATAAAAACAACAGTGATGCAAACAATGACTGATAAAGTGATTAAACTTATTCTAATATCTCCCTGTACACCACATTAAGAGTGAAAACACTTTCAGAGTGCTTGACTAATTTCCCTTGTGATGAAGTACTTAGAACTTTAACTGTAACATCACATGCTCTTCAAACTCGAGAGAAAGCAACATATAACTGACCATGTGCAAAAACGGGTTCAGGTAGGAATATGCCTACTTTGTCTAGAGTTTGTCCTTGTGATTTATTAATAGTCATCACAAATGCTGGCATCACGGGAAACCGTCGT